CATGAAGTTTATATGTCGTCACTCTTTCACAACCAGTAAGTTTAAAAACCTCGACTTAACCATTGCATCACATATAATTTTCTGCTCAAACTACGCCTAGGAAAGGACTGCAGGCGTGTAAGCAGCAAGTTTATACAACTTCAAGGCACCAGCAGCAGTCATGAGAAACTTCATAATGCTTGACTGCTTTAAAATCAACAGCTAAGCTGCCATCACCCTGTGGATAATCATAATAAAAGGGTTTCCCAGAACTTCTGCAGTCCCACTAATATAGGATTTAGAAGAGAAACCTCCCTGAACCCAAGAGCTTTATGCTATGCCGCTGCACTATGATTGGTAAAAATATTTCTACTATCAGACTAATGAAACTACATTTGCAATTCCATGAAAAGTTTATGATCCAACTTCCAGAACCACGAAAGTAAAGTAAAGAAGCCATGACTCCCAAGCAAGAAAGGAATCCGATTCGCTTAAGCTTTAATAACATGGTGCTGAGAATTTTTCAAAGAATAGTACCATTATTGGGATTTTATAGAGCAAGCAAAATGAAAAGTATATCTTGAGATTTGGAATCCTATTGTCTTTCCGGGTCAAAATAGGAACATGCAGAATACACGCAAACAAGGGGTGACGGTGGATTCCGGCAGTGAAGCATGTACACCAGGAGAACTGATTACATGCAACCAAGGAGTGACAGTAAACTCCGGCAGCGAAGGTGGAGAACTGGAGATAGGACGTTTAAAGGGAAAAAGTTGCTCATCAAACTCGACATGACGAGTAACATAAAGACGATTATTCACCACATTAAAGCAGTGATAACCGAGATGAGACAGAGAATATCCAAGAAAGACACACTGAATAGAGCAAAAAGAGAACTTATTCCATTTATATGGGCGAAGAAGAGGATAGATAGTACAGCCAAAAATGCAAAGAAATGTGTAATTAGGTGGCTGGTGATATAGTGTAGTGAAGAATACTTGACCCTGAAGAGGTTTACTAGGGTGGCGATTAATCAAGAACACTGCAGTTTCAAAGGCAAAGTCCCAAAACCGGAAACAAGTGCTAGAATAACCAAAGAGAGTAAACCCAATGTCAACAATGTGACGAATTTTGCATTCAGTAGTGCCATTTTGCTCATGAATATGAGGGCACGCTAGACAATGAACAATACCTACATCCTTAAAGAACGAATTTAGAGGACGAAATTCATCACCCCAATCAGAGTTGACATTTTTAATAGTGGTGCCCAATTGATTTTACGAGAGTTTTGAATTGCTTAAAAATATGAAAAACATCACTTTTATGCTTAATGAGATAAATCCATGTGAATAAAGAAAAATCGTCAATAAGAAGTACAAAGTAGCGACAGCCATTAAAGGACAAAATAGGAGTAGGACCCCAAACATCATTGTAGATTAAATCAAGAGGTTTAGAAATACGACGAAATGTAGAAGTTAAACTAACCCTATACAAAAGATTACTACCATAAACACAATTATTACTTAAAAAAGGAAGCTTCTAATCTGCCATAATCTTTAAGTGATTTGCCCAACAATCACATATTTCTCCAGTCCTTAATATAAGGTATTTTGATCTATTCTAGTTTCAGCTTATACGCATTTTTAATTAATAAAAAAATCTTAATAACATGTTGCTGAGAATCTTATAAAGAATAGCACTCTCTTCTTCCCAAAATGATGTCCAGTCTGAATTTTTATTTTTAGTACAATTTAATCTAAAAATGAAAATTCAAACTAGACAATCATATGGAGGCGGAGGGGATACCAGTATTAAGAGATGTGGAAGAAAGTATAAAGATTATAAAACAGGAACTCAGGTGGCGGATACAGCAAGTCTGCAAGAAAATGAAGGCAGCAGACAGGAAGTACTTAGAATAGATAGTACTTTGTATAGTTGAATAGTTCTTTTTTGTAATAGATGCAGGAATATGTATTGTAAATGAGCAAGTTTTGGAGTAATACAAATTTCACCTTTTTTACCAAAAGAAAAAAAAAGATAGGAACACTCTGAATATCAAAAAACACAAAATGGGATGGAAAACCAAAAGCCATTTGAGGAGTAATATTTTCCATAATCAACCTGATTAACAAGAAAATAATGAAGCTCACAGGGTCAAAGTCAAACGTCCTCACATCAGCCTTTAGCATATATAAGATAACTGATACTAGAAGATGATCCCCAACCAGAAAATATGCACACAACAAATACTCCTCCAGTCCCAAAATTATTGTCCAATTTAAGATTTTCTTTTTAATACAATTTGAATTAAAAATGAAAAATCCAAACTGAATAATAATTATAAGACAGAAGGAGTACTACTTTGTACTATAGAATTCAATTAGATCTGATACACAATTATAATTCATGCGTAGTGTTAGGATTTTACTATATCGTTTGATAAATCCAAACACAACCTCAACATTTTGTTGTCGTTGCGCTGTCCCTATTTCTTAGGTCTAAAAAGAATATCATCATCATCATTATTTGTTAAGATCAATGTAACTTAATTAAATAACGGTTCATCCATTAATTACAGAACTGGATTAAATTAAACCCACGTCTGCAGCGCTTCCAATAGAAAAATAATTTTACTTCTTGGATATGTTAAGTTAGAGAGGAAAGTAGCAGAGTAGACATGTTTGGTCATGACCTGTTCGTAGGATCATGGAGAGGAATATTGTTAGATTGTACCACTAGTGTTTTATTTTATTGGAGTGAGAATGACTTCTAATCAACATTCTGATGGACTTTTCGACGTGCCAACGATTCAAGATAGTTGATCAACTGTCGGTGGCGCGGGCTTCAAGGGTTCTAGTTGACCACCAAAAGCTAAATTAATGTTTCTGGCTAGTTTTGATTAGGTTTTCAACTTTCTATCAAGTAGTAGTATCTGAAGTAAGAAGCAAAGGAATGAATATTATTGATCCTCGTCAATTACGTACAGCTGTAATAATTAGCTTATTAAAATTGATGAGCTGTTCATCCATTTTTTACGCCCACGATCTGCAGCAATAAAAAAAAAAAAGCAAAGCATTTGCGTCGTGGATATATTTAAATTTTGCGTTCAATTTAATCACAAACTCTGCGTTGAATCTAAAATACTATTCCCTCTGTCTCAAAATAATTGTGCAGTTTGAAATTTTACTTTTAGTATAATTTGAACTAGAAATGAAAACCCAAACTGGACAATAATTATGGGACGGAAGGAGGGAATATATTGAAACCCTCGCTGGGTTATGCATTCCGTTCCGTCCTCGCACGAATTCTATAAATAGGTCCCCGGAATCAATCTCAGTCTAAAAAAAACACACCAAATTAACAGACAGTATTTCCTTGTTTTTTTTTTCTTAGCTTAAAAGAAAGCCAAAACACAAGTAGTACTTTTTGGGGCTCGATATCGATCCTCATATTATCCCAAACTGAGAAGTTAATATGGCGGCTGCTCTAGTAGTGCTAAACTTTCGAAAAATGACACAAATATGCTCCCAAGTGGTGGTGTAAGCAGGACTATGGTTAGGTTTTCGGAGGTAGAAAGAAATATGTTTCTCGCAATTGGCAAATGCGAAAAAACCAACTTTCGCATTAGGCAAATGCAAAAATGTATTGAATTAATTACAATGCATTAAAGACATTGGATTAAAACTAGATAATTATAATTATTATAAGTTTCGCATATGTCATATGCGAAAATAAACTTTTCGCATATACCATATGCGAATGTTTTAAATTTGTATTTAAAAATTGTTTCCTAACTTTAAATTGGTATAAAATAAAATGTTGTAAATTAAATATTTTGGTTGGTAAAATGTTGTAATATTTCAAAAAAAAAATGCTATTTTAATTGAAAATTAAATTTTCTAAATTTAAAGTATTCATTTGATTTAAGTAAATTTATGTTAGTTCTAAATAGAATTGCAATCCTAAAAATTATATTTGGTGAACAGAAATTGTATAATGTATTTATAATAAAATTTGAATAAGAAGTAAATTAAAATTTCGGTGAAAAATTAGAATATAATCTTGCGTTTTGTAACCAAGTTTGCTTTTAAAAAAATTTACTTTTATTTGGTTTCAATTTAAAAACTTACCATCATTAAAAATATAATGTCAAAAAATCAAGTTTATTAATTTTAGGATAATAATATTTTTTACATAATAAAACTTAGAATCAATTCATTTAAAGTAAGGAAAAAAACTAAAACTTTTAGAATCTGACATAATATAAAGGAAAATGGCAAAAATATAATGTGGTCAATGGCCTCAGATCACATTTGCACAGTACCACTATGAAAATTGAACAAGAAAGTGCTTCAATAAAACGCTCTGAAGAGCTGCTTCCAAGAAGGCTATTCCAGGTTGACGGTTGGCATTGACACCATCAGGAACAATCATATTTTCTTGCTTTCATCTAACATAATCAGTCCTGCTAAACTTGATAAAACCACACTTCCTTCTAACAATGATCTTTTGGCGACCTGGAAACTTGAATTTGGCACGACGAAAAAGATAGTATTGTATAAAAGTAAGAGTTAAAAAAATTGTACATAATATTGTCTTTTTGAGAAATTTTCTTCTTTAATGTTTGCCTTTTAATTTTTTTTAATCTTAAAGATTAAATAAAACCGAAATAAATTGTTAATGAAAAGAAATGAAAGGTATTGCTTAAAACGAATAACAAAAGTCATAAAATAGCATAAAATAAAAGTACAATTCAATCTAAATTTTCTACATCTTGTGCTTTTTCTCCCGAGAATCTGTCATGCAGCACTTTTTCTTCTTCTTTATGTTCCGCTGTCCCTTACCCAAAGCAATCGGTGTAAAAGGCATGGTACCATCACTGGGGCCCTGTCCCTGATCAGCGCCCTCATCATGATTATGAGAGGAATGCTCAGCATCATCAGCATCATCATCATGCTCCTGATCCCGAATATCCTCATGATCTTGATCATTTTCCTGATCATTATGGATATCGTTACCGCCTAGATGCTGACTATGATGACCACCCTCGTAACTAGTCTCAAAGAAACCCCAGCATTAGGATCTAGATTAATAAAATCTGAATCAAAATGCATTTGCTCAAAAGGAGGAGAGGGATGGTGGTGTGGCGATGCTGGACGGTAAGGAGACACATGCGGGGTAGAAGATTGCCCGCCGGTATCCTGGGTGGCCACAGGCTTTCTCATTCTCCCACTCCCTAACTGGAAGCCGCCTCGGTCAGTCCTGGGAGGCCTAGGTGGGATATACTCCTGGGTTGGGGCAGTTGGAACAAAATCTTGGCTTGGGTTCTCACTATCAGCCCAAACAGATGTCTTGCTGACAGTCATTGCCTGTTGTGTCAAATCGTGCAGCTGTAGGAAGGCAATGTGATTCCAAGAATCAGCTGGATTATGTTGTAGCTCATCTAGAGTAATATGCCGCATGTTTTGCACTAAATTGGCCTGAAAATTATGAAAGGAAATAAATATATGGTAAATTCAAAATATATAGTAAATATATTTTATAAATGAAATAGTATAACTGTAACTTACCATTATATGTAGTGACTCAGCAGATCCCTGAAAACCCTGGGGCTGACGATAGTCTGATGGATTGGTGACCAAAGTGACAGTGCGATTTTGATACCACACTAGATATTCCGGTTCTGCCTGGGGTTCAAGAGTCATATCCGTCTGAAGACCTGCAAGGGTGTTGTGTCGAGTCTCCCACCTCTGTAAGACGTCATCTCGACATTTCTTACCACGCGTCTCCTTATGCAACTTTTCTATTTCTTTTTTCTCCATGATGAAAGTGTTGTCAGGCACCCGCTGCAAGAAGCCGAACTGGCGCAACACCCTGCCTGGGATGTGTGGCTCTCGGATACCAAAATAAAGCAGCCAAGTCTGGGACATCCATATGGCGGAGCCGGCAGAGCAAGATGGATCAATGTCTGCTAGGGTAGCAGGAGAATACGGCATCCAAACAAACTGTAGAGGGACAGATAATACAAAAAATTTATGTGAATATATACGAAAAAAAAATAAATTGATTTATACGTTATGATGGTTCAAATAAAAAATACTTACATTATGTTCTTGCAAAACCGCAAGCTGGTCTCGATAGGCGGTTAGATTAAATCGTGTGATGTCTCCCACTTTTCTAGGACGGTTCCACCTACAAAAAATATAGTTTTGATTGAAAAAACGGAAAAAAAATTATCAAAAAATATAACTAATTAAGATAATTATTGAATAGTTGAAAATTAATTACCTCCTGCCTAAGGGACACCCCTGAAGATCTGGTACGGACCCACGTAACTCCGGACGGAAAGTCAAAATCCGCTCCCCAGCCCATAACTAATTTGCAATAAAATAATACGTGAAATTAAAAATACAAATACAATAATTAAAAAACTAACAATAAAATACAAATATCATAATAGGATTCTAACAAAAAATTACAAATAAGGAAAATAAAAATAAATCTAAAAAAATTAAAATAAAATGAATAAAAAACTAACAATCAAATACAAATACAAGGGCGGTTTGAAATTACCTGTAAGAGTAGTAAGCAGCCACAAATACCCTGTCCAGACAATGTGATCACTGAGGAAGTGCATGGATTTCGGTACAACCACGCCAGTGTAGCACTACCCCAACTAAACTCCCGAAATGTAGTTGGGTCCCCCAAATACCCCACCAGGCCTAGGGGAAAACTGTTTCTGCTGCTATCAGGAAATAATAACCCTCCTAAAATCCATCCGACAAAACAACGTGCCCGCTGAAGGTGCATATTCTGTAGCATCTCCGGGTAGCAGATTAGTCATAATGTGTCTCTTTATATCTGTGATGTTTACTACCTTATCCTTCGTGGCCTTAGGACGCTGTCGGAATCCAAACAGACTCTCTAAATAATCGGCCCACTCCACATCCTGCGGAGGTACTGTCCCCTGAACCACTGCATGGCCATGCCTTTTTGTAATTGGGGGTGACCCTGTATCTCTTATTTACTTCGACTTGGATCTGCGCGACTAAATAACTTGTATCTTTTCGGACATTGGCTGTGATCAATCGAGCAATCATTGTGGACGTCAAGTTACGACCTTCGTTTCTTGTGGTTGCACCAAGACAGTTGTGGCTCTCGATCTATACCACCATTCTCCAAGTATTTGTGTCTTTTTGCAGGGTAGCTCGACATTTCCACAAGCAAGTAGTGCCGTGGAGAAGTTCTTCTGGGTACTTCGGCCCTTTAGTCTCGCATTCAACGGCCCACGTATAGGGACGGCTATATTTTACCCGACATGCTCGACCCTGTCGCAATGTCCATTCCCCCACAGCGGTTTGTACCTCTTTCTTGTTAGCAAAATGTACACCATGTCTAACCGTTTGCCAATTACCGTCCCACATTGTGATCCCATCAGAATCCTCATCCAGTTCAGACTTGTCTATGTCATTGATGTCATCAAAAATAGAAGGTACTACTGAAGATGTGTCATGGTCACTGTAATCATCATCAGACTCATCGGACGGCACAAACTCCTCGTCATTGTTCCCATGTACGTCATCTTCTGTGTCATCGTCATCTTCATTGGTACCACCAACACCACTACTCCCTGCACCATCATACTGACCACCACTAGTTCCTTCCCCAACATCTTGAACAGGTTCATCTGCAACCTCTACGTACAATGCTGGACGCAAATGGGCACCTCGCTAAATCCATGACATTGACTCGTCGTCTCTTATGGGCACTTGCCCCCTTCTGCCGTACTCCTCTCTGCAGACTAAAACATATTGCAAAGGAAATATTTGTTGGTTCTCAGATTCCAATAGCCTGTGTACATAATTATCAAGTTCAGAGAAACTCCACACTCCATCGATACGAACTGTTGCATCGGGTGTAAATAACTTCTCCCCATATCCCCAACAAGATCGATCACTAGACCAGAATATATTCAGATCGAAGGGACCCGGAAAAGACATATTAAGGGCCTGCACATTTAATTTTTATTCAATTAAACATACAAATACATCAATTCATGCTTGTTATAACAATATTCTACCTCACTAGGAGTAATTTACTCCAAAAACTAACAATAAGTCCTATCTTTAGTGAAAAATCTCTAACATAATTTAATAATTCAAAAAATATAATTCGACATCTATATAACAAAGTTTTCAATTAAAAGAATAACAAATTTTGGTCAAACTAATAAATTTAGATTTACACAATGTATTTGATCAATTAAAACTAAATTTATTCAACAATACATGAATTTAGCACTCAACGCTGATGATAAAATATAAAATTAACAGAATAAAAAAAAATAGGGTCAAATCAATAACATTACAAATAATTGGGTCAGAATATAAAATTCACAAAATTGAGGTATAAAGACCAAAATTCGAGATCAACCGAGTTATTCTCTAAATTAATAAAATAACTCATAATATTCAACAAAATTCAACAATTCACATCACAAAAATAATTTTTATTCTTCATTCTACATCAAATATATATTTATTGAAGCAAATTTTTTAAAACCAATTCTCAATAACTACCGAAATTATTAAATTTAGTAATTTCGTACACCACAACAACATTAATAGCCCCAAATAACAATAGAATATATAAATTTTACAAATTTCATAGAGAAAAAAAACTTATCTAAATGGGTTGCCTCTGTCCTGCTCCCGTCCAGTCCAACCATCCAACGTTCAATCTGAAAAATGCCTCTTTCCTGCTCCGCCTCTTTCACCCGAATGAAAATTTCAACTGAATACAAGAAGGATTGATGGTTTTTAGTTCTGCCGAATTTGGGGGGGGAGGGGGGGGTGATGAGTTTTAAATTATGAGTCTAGGCATCACATTCGCATTCGCTAAATGCGAACATTTATCCAAATTGTCAGCAATTGCCACGTGTCGATAAGATATTGACCAATCAGATTTTAATAGGATAAAAAGATAATTTCGTTTTTTTTATTACCTATAATTTGTTGTTCGCATTCGTTGAATGCGAAAACATTATGATGACTCACATCTTTTTTCTTCCTTCCGTGTCTGCTTTCATAATTCATATATTAATATATTCGCATTCGTCAAATGCGAATGTTTTGTGATGGCCCACACTTTTCTCTTTCCTTTCTGTGTTTGGTTTAATTCATCATATATTAATATGTTCGCATTTGTCGATTGCGAAATTTGTGTGATGGCCCACACTTTTGCTTTGAGTTATCTCTTTTGTTGATATTATTTGTTTAAGTTGAACTAATTACTTACGTTAAGATGTTCGCATATAGGAAATGCGAATATCAGTTTATTCGCATACCACGAATGCGAGAAACATATAAATTTCTACCCCTCCAACCCTAAGAACAATTTTTTCTACCAACTAAAATTTGGGTAAATCATTCTCACGGACCCGCTAAACTTTGGTTTTTCGGGCTTTCTCTTCTCCTTGTTTCTGTTTCACTGTCAAGCTGCAGGAATCTTGCGGACCTTAAAGTTTATGTAGATCTATCCGCCACCGCCAGCCTAGATCTTGGTCGGTTTCCCGCTCCTAGTATTCCCACCGACCTTGATCCCACAGGTGCTCTCCCCGCCGTTAGTGCCACTGTTGTTGCTGGCCACAACTAAGGCGGCAACATCGGGCCGCGCCAAGGATATATCCAACATTCTTCTCCAGCGCCTCATGTTTGCTAATCATCCTTAGTCTGAGTTTGTTGTTTGTTTGGTTTCTATATACATCAACAAATAGTTAATTTGTTGGTTTTTTGTTTGTGTGTGTGTGGTTTTTTTTTTTTTTTTTTGGTTTCGTTTTTCTGGTGTTGATATGTATTCTTGTCTGGTCGATCTTATTATGTGGGATGCTACGTAAACATGTGTACATGTAGCAAACCCAAATTTTATTTAAAAATCTTATTTCTTATCTTTCGTGTCCTATTATATTATAGGTAGTATAAATTAGTTATGATATATCTCAATTAATTCCATTTTCAGTAATCCTAATATAAGTACTTCTTCAACATAAAAAATTACAGAGGAAGATGATGAAACTCTTATCTCACATCGATGTTGTGACTTTGTATTAATATATATAAGATCTATGTGCTACTCTTTTCATTACTAATTGGTTTTGAGATGGAATCCCATGAATTATTATTAATGATTACAATTTCAAGGGGAAAAATCATAAACGAAACAATTGGAAGTGGATTAAAGAGTGAATTGGAAATGTAGAAGATGAACTAATTAACTACCCCGAGTGTGTATAGTATTGAATTCTCCCAGACTTCCCCATCTATGAAGAAACTTAAAGCGAAAATGAAGAAATTTCTTCACCAGCATGAAGGTCAGAGGGAGTATTTTGTATTATTAACTGTTACTCCCTTCCTAACGAAAAAAAAAAAAAAACAAAATCCATATTAAAAACTCAACGTATACGATTTTTCCGGGATAGAAGAAATACAATACAGTCAAACATATGAGAATATTTTTGCAGAATGAAATGGAACTAGCTAGAAGGGTTGGCAAGTTCAAAGATCTTCATCAACATATCTACTACATTACATAAGATCGAGCCAATCAAAGTGAATCGCTGAATTAGTCCCTTTAACCTCAAAACTTGTTGTCCATTAAGTTCTTCTTCTTGTTCTTTTTTCTTAAGTTTCTTTATTTATTTGATTTTTTTTTTGGGTAGGTTTTGTTGTATTTTCATAATTAGTATTCCCTCCGTATCAAAATAATTGTCCACTTTATATTTCCATTTTCAATTTAAATTATATTGAAAGAAACAATTTAAACTGAACAATAATTTTGAAGAAGAAGTAATTCTTAATTTAAGTTAATTGCCATCTTATCTCAAACCATAACGAGTGAAGATTTGGAAGTAGCAAAATCGAAGGGTTATGGTGCGGGGAAGATAAGGTCAGGTGTTACCATAACAAAGTCAAAGAGGTTGCGACTAGCGACCCGGGAAATCAATCAATAGATTCCAAAATGTGTTTTTGGACCAAAAGTAGGGAAATGTAACGTGGATTAATTTTGTTGGTTTTGTACTGGTTGAAGAAGGAAATGGAAGAGTGTCTCTGATTTCTTGGATCCAGAACAAATATATTGATCCACGATCTGCAGCACTTTCAGTTGATTAATTAGAAAGCAAATCATTTGAATCGTGGACTATATTTAAGAAGTATAGTGCCCGAATTTTCGAAAATGACGAGGGCCTTCCCACCGGTGGTCTTCCCGACCTTCTCACTGTCGATCTTCCTGTCGATGTTGACCTTACCAACATTTTTGATACGACCGACATTGATATCCCCGGTATTGCCTCTAATGGCCGCGACTAAGGCAACTCTTGCGAAGAAAGGAAGGTGAATTAGGTTCTAATTTGGGGAAAAATCTTTATTGAATCGATTCTAAAAAAACTGTCAAAAAGATCACATGTTAATCAACCACCGTAAAAACACACGTTTAGTGCGTGTTTTCTCTCTGAAGAAGTTAAGAGTCCTAGTCTTTTCGAGTATTGTCTTAGAGTTACGCATATCCATTAGAGTTCTCCTTTGGGAGGATTCTCTTAGTGTTAATGTTTGTCTGTTCAGAGTTCTCATCTTTACAAATCTCCACCGTAGTTGTTCACAATAGATCTTGTTTTCTTCAGTCAATAATCATGTTCTTCTTGAATATTCATTTCTCTTGTTAAATTTTTTCTTTCTTTCTTTCTTTTTTTCAAAAATAAAATTATGTTTAATTGTTTCGGTTTCAATGTCTAGTTTGAAATAAAATCTGCTTTCGACTCACCGCAGATGTGATTTGTGTATTCATTTGTTGCATTTTGATCCAATTTTCTTGTTGCAAGTTTGTTTTGAGAATAAAACCGTTCATAACTGTTTACATTTTCTTTATAACTTCAAATAAAGTCTACCATCCGTAGCAAGTAGATCTTCAATTGATAGTTTTATTTGTTGAGTCTTGATTCATCACTTGGTGGAAACGTTTGTTTGAAAAATTAATCTTGATTCTCTCTCCTTCTTTCTCTGCCTTGTGTATATCCACCATAGCTCATCAATTCTTGCTGATTAGTCGTCATTTCTGTTTGATTCAGAGAAATCGAGGAAGAAGAAAAGAAGATAGAATCAAGAAAGAGGAGAAAAATCGAGATCTAGGGTTTTCAGATATCTCCGGTTACCGATCTCCGGCACTACAACCTGCTCTGATACCATCTAACCGAAGCTAATCCACACATTTCTTTGTTAATCCGATGAAAAATGAAGACTGAATCAAGAATCTGAAAAAACGAGAGAGAGAGAGAGAGAGAGAAAGAAAGTTTGGGAATATTCTGTATTAAGAACTGAGTAACCAATTTGTCTAAGTTCTCGTCCTTTACAATCAGACATAGATTGTGTATTTATATCAGGCTAATAATAACACTAGCCGCCTAAGCTATCTATATTACAACTAAGTCCTGACACTATACAGAACATACAATTCAGCCTTAATTACATTATATACACTAAACTAACTTGTATATACACATTTATCTATTATATTCACAATCATTTATTAAACTGCCTAAACCTTCTGATCTGGAATAACCCCAACATTCTTCGCTCAGCAATCACAAATCATGCATACTTCATTCTTCATGAACAGTAACCATGCAGCCCGAGGAATACCAGTTGCAGGATACAGCAAAACCCAAATAGGGCTCTAGGCCGGGTTTTGTATATTCAGCTATCACCTCTCCATGGCCCGTCATCATGAAATTTATATGGTGTCACTCTCATAACCAGTAAGTTCAAAAACCCCTTGACTTGAACCATTGCATAACAATTTCTGCTCAAGCTACCTCTAGGAATAGACTGCAGGCGTGTAAGCAGCAAGTTTATGCAACAGCAAGGCACCAGCAGCAGTCATAAGAACTTCATAACGGCTCAAAATCAACAGCTAAGCTGCATGCCCATTAGCCTGTGGACAATCACATCAAAGGGTTTTCGAGAACTTTTGCAGTCCCACTGATATAGGATTTAGAAGAGAAACCTCCCTGAACCCAAGAGCTTTATGCAATGCCGCTGCAATATGATTGGTAAAATTATTTCTGATTTCAGAAATTTAGAATGTTTAATGAGTAACAATGACCTAAATCAAATATCTAGATCAGAAATTTCTACTGTCAGACTACTGAAACTACACTTGCAATTCCATGAAAAGTTTATCCAACTTCAGGATATCAAGAACAGCGTAAGTAAAGTAAACGGGCCATGACACCCAAGCAAGAAAGGAATCAGATTCACTCAAGCTTCAATAACATGGTACTGAGAATTTTATAAAGAATAGTACCATTATTGGGATTTTATAGGGCAAGCAAAATGAAAAGTATATCTCGAGATTTGGAATCCTAGTCTTTCCGAGTCAAGCTAGGAACACACAGAATATCAAAAACACAAAAGGGAGTAGAAAAATTAAAAGCTATTTGAGATAATATTTTCATAATAAAAAACCTGATCAACCAGAAAATAAGCTCACAGGTTCAAAATCAAACAACCTCATATCAATCTTTAGCATATAAAAGAACTGATACCAGAGCATGTGGAGAACAGATCTCAGCCCACAAATTAGAAGATGATTCCCAATCAGCAAATATGCACAGAAGAAAATTGGGAGTAACTCACAAGTTAGTATTCCAAATGTGCAGGGAGACTTTAAGGCAGAACTCAAACTCACAGCACCTTTCTACCAAAGTACACAAACTAAGCAATTTAGCAAGACGGTAAACATTGTTTTTCGACGAATAAATTCAATGGCTTAGATGTGGAAATAAATAAATATAAGCCTCAGTTTAGAAGCCAGGTTTACACAGGAACAAACACTAAATATACACATGATTTCAGAACAGAATACAGTTTAGCATCTTCAAATTTGCCCAGAATCATATGAGAAAGTATTAACTTTATGATGGGAAATCATCTAAAAATGCTACAAAGGTACAGATGCCTATTGAGACTTGAGAGTGACCATAATTACGTTTGAACCAATAAGCTTTACCTGATAGTTCGTGAAAATTACCTCCCAAATTCAGCTTTACCTGATAATTTGTGAAGTTTCCCTCCCAAATTCAAGGAAATTCAAGTTTATCAGGGTGTCTATCTGTGCACTACTGGGAAATGCAAGACATCTATGACCCCATATCCTTGCAAAAAATAGCAAAACTGGAAATATCCTTCAGCATCCTTTCTGATCTCAGATTGATGTCAAACCACATGCAACACATTAAAGACCTTCCCTCCAACTATAGAACACCATTCTAGAGGTATACCCCGCCAATGAAGCATGCACTTCCCTACTATTAGTTTTATATATAGTACTGATGCTTTTACAATAACTAACCCTTTCAGAGGCAACATCTCATTGCCCTGTTTTTCCCTTTTCATAAGGAATCCAGACAAAACATTTTTCCTCAACACACTTCAGATACATCTGAAATTCTCTCATCAGTCAAAGTATGATATTGCTGCCTGGTGACTCGACTCCATTCAGGTTTGAAACTAAGCTATAACGTGACGAAATGTAAAATGTCATTGCTCGTTTAGAGATTAAACATCAAACTTCTCAGGTAGGACATCTGCGCACCAATTCAAACTGAACACGATCTATGAAACTGAATATCAAGTGAAACCTCCTTTAGCTTCCTTTCAAATCCCAGATTCATATTGAAACCTTATGGAAAACAAAGATTACAGGACATCTCCCCAAAATAGGGTATGTACTTCTTCGGAGTTCAATTGTACTTGCAATGTCATGACTAACAACTCTGAGGCCATAGATCAACTCAACAAATACTAAAGAACCCTTTCAAAACCATTGGCCCTCAGCTTCATCACTGTCATTTGTTCCCTTTCCCAGAAAAACTACAGAATGACTCAAATTTTTTCTCTGAGCTGTCTTCGGAAAACCTAATCTCTCTTACCAGTCACTACCAAAGTACCATCATGCCCAAAAGGTAACGTTTCTACAAGCAGTACCAACTACCAAGTGAATAATGTTTAAATCCTATAACTTCTAACCCTTATTAATGGTTATGTAGACCACACTTATCAATTCTACTCATGACATGAACAGTCACGCTGCTTTGTACAAATTAACGACAATTTGAATGATTATCACAAGATTTACTCCAGCACAACATGCAAGCAAAAGAAATATTTACAAAGGAGTATAAATTTTTATCATTACAATGTCTACAAGCCCTACATCTTTGGAATTGCTCGAGCAATTCTGCATTTCCTATTATGGTTTCCCACTATACCGATATTTGGTCATCACTTCCAATGACAATTCTCATCAAAACTCAAAGTTCACACGCCTTAATAGCGGACAGAATTAATGAATGTCAATTATGTACCAAATTTACAATCAATCGCCGCAGAATATATCCACGAAGTGGCAACTCTAAGAGCATTCAGGTCTTGTCTAAACTACAATCCAAATGGGGATTGCATTCTACAGCATAGAAATCATTGTTTTCAATCAAAACTCTCAACATGTCGAAAGTAAACTCCTTACTGTTGGGGTCACTGCTAGGTGACTCACCTGAGGAATCCAATGCCGCCGTTTGCTTTCCACACAAGCAACATCCGACCATCCCACCGCCGCCCCAACCACCAAAACACCCACCGGAATTCACCAAACCACCACCACCCTTCTTCTGCTTCTTTTTCCTCCTCTTCCTCCGCAGCAGCTGCAGAGTCTTCTTTGCCTTCCCAAATCTAAACACAAACACCCTTTTGGATTCGTCTTCGGTCTTTCCTCCGATTCCCTCTTTAACACCATCTTTTCGTGATGGGTTAACAACCCCATCTTCATCTTCATTGCCACCGCCACCGCTGCTAGAGGAAATTTCCTGATCAGGCCCAGACATAAACACAAAAACAGAATCTTTCCCGTTTCACCCAATTCCTATCTTGTCAATCCTCAACTATTTGAAAGCTAAAATGACAAAGGATTTGGACCACAAAGACTACAGTAACCACAAACGTCCATCTGGGGTGTGTCAGTTATATATATTTACTGTGGAATGATAAGACAAAGTAACAAAAGTTTGAGATGGGCATATTCTTTCTGGGGGAAATTTTTAAGAAAATAAACAAAAGGGGTTTGATTGACTTTGATTTGCAGAGTTTTTTTCAAATACAATAAACAATTGCAGAGAATACAGAATCGAAACTGAATTGAAGATTCGAATAGGAGAAAGAAGAGCGGATGAAGAGGAAGGCTGACTGCGCGTGCGTGTTTGTTTCAACTTTCAACTGTCGTTTTTAACGCCAGAGTTGTCGGATTCACGAGGTCGATATTTTTTACAGCGACAGTGGTAACAGTAAATATTAGCGCAGATTTCTGTCTTTAATGACTTCTGTTAGTTGAATTAATGACGTACTATGTCATTGATGTTAATTAAAGTCGATGGAGTTTCTGTCATAGTTAGTGTCCGATGGCATAAGAATTTAGTAAAATTGTTATTCTCTCTTTTTCTTTTCTTTTTTACAATAAACTGGTTTCTATTCATTTGAGTATACGCATTATTACCCATTTTATTAGTAAAAATTATTTTTGTATTATTGTTCATTCAATCCAAGTGTAAACTTGATTTTTCAATCAATCTTTCTCAAGGAAAAAAAAAAAAAAAACCAAATGACTAATGCTTTTTTAATGAAATAAAAAAAATCAAAATGCGATGAAATATCATTTCCTATCGAAGTAAAGATCCATGTTTAAGAAACATTGAATGAACATGAATTTTTTTTTCCCCAAAGATTTTCACTATCCTTTTAATTAATGCACTTAGGTGGCAATGTGGCATATCATACTGTTCCACTTACTGTAAAAAATATCAAATTATTTCTGTATCAATTTGGCTTACGAAACATTATACATCTTCATAGTTAGAAGTGTTGCTGAATGGATGATGAATATCATTTTATAATGAATAGATTAATTGAAGAAGATTCTACAATTTTAAAGTTGTTTATGACCACAATCATTCTATTTTCAATCACAAGTTTTTCTCAATTTAGTTTGAGAAACACAAAATTTGGTGGACCAAAAGTGATATATTCCATTACTTTTTTTTAATTATTTTTCAATGGTTGGAGAAGTAAGGCTCTGTTTGATAAACCAATTCAGCACTTAAATTTAATTGATTAAGTACTTAATTGATTGGCACTGTTTGATAACACAATCTCATAACAATTTAATTGATTAAAAACTTAACTAATTAAGGACTTAAATTTTAAGTGCGTTTGATAACTCAAATTATGATGTCTTAATAAATTAAGAGATTCTGAAATGCTAGTACAGATGTGAGTCAAAAAATAAATGATATGCCGATCACTTATGTCTGAACTGAATTTTCGAGATAATTTTTTTCTATTTATTTACTTTTATGTTTATACTTTTGATGTTTAATTTTGAAATATTTTTATTAATCTTGGTGTTTAGTTACAAATTGAAATTTATTGAAATTATTTTTATTTAATAAACATTTATTTTAACATAAAAAATAAAATACGAATAAAGTCTATAATAAATATATATTTATCATAAAGATGTGATATTTTTTTGGACAGTGATAAAGATATGATATTATTATTAAATAAAAAAATTATTACATGATAAAGTTTGAATATTTTTATATCATAATTTTATAATAATACTATTATTTTTATTATCATAATTTATATATACATCAATTATTTTTTTAGATGAAATTATAAGTCGAGATATTTTAAATTTCAGTGTTTAGACTTCAAATTTCAGATACTTTATTCACTCTTCAGATTTTGATTTTTAACAAATTGAATCAGTTCAGTACTTATGATTCAGTGTTCAGATTTCATATTTCAGATCCAAATTAAGTTTTATCAAACGGAGCCTAAGTAATAGTTTAGAGCCGTCAGCCTCAGGTGGGGTCGTCAATGATTAATTCCGTGTTAGGTTGAAGTTTCGCTAATTACTATGATGATGGCTGTGACGTGGAAAACTGGAAATTAGACATGAAACTTAATTAAAAGAAGATAATGACTGAATGAAACACTAAAGATATGATGGAAGTCCAATTAGGCATACCAAATCATTTTATTCTGAGCACTCTGTCAAGTTTTTCTTACTCCTAAAATGATCCTACTATTATTTACACTTTTCTTGATTTGAGAGAGAGCGAATTATTTTTAGAAGAACTATTTTTTTGAAACAGCAGGGGTATTGTTTGTAAACATTGAATCGTTTTTTCTATATTTTTATACATCTCCTATTTGTTACTACACCAATTAGCGGAAACACCATAAGTACGATAACAACAAAAGGGAAGAAATGAAAGTAAACACATAAAACAACTTGAAAATGACATAGTTGTTGATACAACCCATGATGCATAATGCATTTATTAAATGACCTAAAAGAAATGAGATTATTTTAGTACTTTCTATTTCATCGTCATGTTTTTTATTCAATAAAAATGACTGTTTTTAAGAACGAAAAAAGATGAATGGATTAGAAAAAGGCGGGAAAGAACAAATCAGAGGAACCTACTCTCGTCTTTATTGTTGTTGCTTTGTTGGTCATATAGTCCATCGATCTTAACAAAATACGGAGTAATATGGAATTATAATGGTTGTAACTATTATGCCCGATGTTTGGAACACTTGAAAAATATAATGGAATAAACCCACGAAGTGGAGAAAGAAGCTCATAAAATGCTGCAAGTGGATATTGAGGATAAGCAACAAAGCTATCCAACCAAAACATATATACCCCATCAAGATCTTATATGCCTTCTACATAGTTGTCTGAATATGACAATTGACAACCCATGATGGTCCTTCCCTTACGTGCATATTTATTCTCCAGAAGGATGGATTTACCAATTATCCTCTTCGAAATTTAGAAAAATGATAAAAATTATTTAATATTATCCACTGAATCTTACGATTAATGATCAAAATACTATAAAAATTTCTACATATACAGAAATTGTGTGAGCCAACACCTTAAACCATTGACCTAATGTTAACCATTGGCCTTTGAGACTTACATTATGTTTCCCGTTTGATGTGAATATAGATTGGGGTAGATGGACTATCTGTAAAGATATAGTAATACCTTGATAACAAAAAAAAGAAAAAAGAAAAAGAAATGCAGTAATATTTTCTTATCACGTCGGTAAAAAATACTTAACAATGTATAAGTTTATCAATTTATTTGAATCTATGTCGCATTATTCACTTTTCTGTGACGATTTATTTATTTACCGTTAATGGTAAAGTTTTGCACATATGGGGTGGTATGAAAAGTACTCCTTTTTATTTGTTTCCATCACCATATTCTTATTCTAAAAAAGAAAAAGTATTTTATGCCAAGTGGGGGAATCAAATCAATCAATTTCATTAAACAAGAAGAATCTTTAGCTTCACAAAACAATTATACTTTTAAGTTATCTCTAATATTATGATGCTGTCTCTGGGTTGCATTTTAGCTACAAGTTTTGGTTGTTAGGTGATCTCTTGTTGGTTTAAAGTAAGCAAAAGCAAGAACTTATCATCATCATACCAAGTTGTAAAGATCAAAAGCCACAAGCTTTCTCTCAACTAGCAGCCCCTCAGCTAGGACACCCAACCCTACCCAATCCCCTTCTCCCCCCTCCTTTCTTGGTTAGTTCCTCACTTACTCCCCCCCTCTTTCTTATGATTGAATCAACACCATAAAGATAAAGGGTCTTTCTTTCTGTAAAGTTTTTATATACATATATATACCTTAAGAAAATGATTTCTCAGGTGATCTAATGTAAAGGGCAGGTGTGAAAAGTTTGAAAGATTCAAGAAAGCTAAAAAAGAAAAGATTTTGATGAGGAGATCAGCTGCTGGATCAAGGAAAATGTGGTGGGTTGTGACTAGGAAGAAAGGAGGTAAGAAGACAGAATCAAGAATGGAGATTGAGGAGATTCTGAAGATGAAACTTGCAACCATCATTGAAGAAGAAGAGCCTGCGGAAATGTTTGATCAAGAAAACGTTGGGATACTTACAACAACAACAACAGCAGCAGCAGCAGCAAAGTATCATCATCATAACAAGTGGAACAAGAAGAATCATAATCTGATTAAAGTGAAGATGGGAAGATTCTTTTTGCCTCAGTTCAGTCTGAAAGAATCTTATTGGATATTCATGACTGGATTATCCTGCAAAGGTGGATTGCACGGTCTTCCTCGATGCTCATGAATATGCAATGTTACCTTCTTTTTTCTTTTTTTTTCTTTTTCTAGTTAATGATGCATCATCAAGCTTTAGCCTTTACAGTGGATGTTAAAATTTTGTGTGTAAAAACCTCAGCATTTTTTTTTTTTGAAACAACTGCTGATGTGTGTATATTCCAAAATCTATGGTTAACTACTCCTTTTGATCCTTTTGTTGTTAACGAATTGTACGAAACTGGTTCTGGGATTTGAAGTTTTAAACAAGCTTTTTAGCCCCATGTTCTTGTTGCTGTGCAAATTCCCTGTACATTTTGTTTCAGGATGAATGTATCCTCTGTTTCTGCTCTGTTATCATAGTTATGCAAATGCATTTGATACTTCTGAATTCATATTATGCTTCGAGTTCAAATCCATAGCTTGAAGATGAAATGTGCTATCTTAGTTTCATAGTCTTTCCGAGTTGAATAAGGATTAATTCGAGTATATGTGATCGTTTAGATTTTATCCCATAGTTCATGTACTAAAAACAGTATCGATTCAACAGGACTAGAGAAACAGCTCAACTAAGGTATCCAACAAGATTGGTGTTTAGGTAAACTAGGCAAGATTAGTTCAACTAACAAATCAACAAGGAATTGAAAAAAAATTGAAGTTTCTTCAACCTCACTTTAACTGCAAAGATCCAATCTTGTCCCAACTTCAATAATGAGACGTTAATATCTACCTGTCTTTGTAGGTGCTCTTCATAATTTCAACTGTTTATCATTACTTTCTCCTTAAAATTATCATTTATATGTTGCATTGCTTAAGGTTTGAGACTGCTATCTCTCAATTACATCATTGACGAAATAATCTGTCTCATAGAACAGAAAGTAAGTAGGTTGGCACTTTCAAAAAACCGAAAATTTTAGCATCAACAAAGTCCATTGACGGAATGAAAAATTTCACACGAGAGGGTTGAAAAAGAGTTATTCAATCGTCACCGAAAGGTCAATTCTACAAAAATTTCGAGTCGAACTACAAAAATTTCAAGTGCAAAACACCCCTACCAGGGGAAAATCCGACCCGACGGGCGTCGATCTACCTCATACCCCCTAAATCTGTCGATGACAAAGTCGATTATTTTTCTGGAAGGGAGGGAGTGTATATAGCACTGAAGAAGCGAGATTCTTATGATTTGGCAATTTGGCATGCACTAATCCACATTATGTGAAAAAGAATTTCACTTTCAATGTTTGGGTACTCTGCAGTCATGTGTTGCAGTTAAAATACAAAATCAAAAGGTTTGTAGGCAACAATGTTGTCATACTCAAACCATAATTTTTGCATTGTTTAATCAATAAGAGTTCAATCCTCTCTGTAAATACAATGCAGTATTTCTTCTGTAACTAAAAGAATTGCAATGAGAAATAACTGGAAGTCCCCATTGACATGAGAATATAATAGCAGGGCACAAATCGTCCATCTTCATCCGTTTCATAAACGCAGCATATAGAGCAGCAATCCTTCTAGGCAGAATCATTATGGAAAATGGCTTCCAGTTCAGCTTCCGGGATCGAAATAATCTCAGCCCTTTTGTCCTTCCATTCATTTTCTTGAACCAGAAGCATCTTCGAGCTGGCCTAGGTACTTCTTCATCGCAGTTGCTAATTAGCCTCTGATATCTTGTAGCCATTTTCAAGCAACCCTTCTTCAACAATGGCCTAAAAATGTAGAGACAAATGAAGAGAATTTATTAAAGGATTATGAAATTTTGAGATATCGGAAAATGCTGATTAGTCGGATGTATATATAGAAGAATTGGTGCATCCATCCTAAAGGATCAAACACATGGAGAATCTGGTTTTGAGCATAATTTCAAGCATAAATTTGGTAAGTTAAATGACTGCGTTTGATTCCTTCAACACATGGAGAGGAACTTATTTTAAAACAAAATTCATTGTATCGAAATTGCAACTTGGAGGGTGGTAGATGCCTTTCAATCCTTAACAACACATGGCTAGCATAATGAGAGCTTATAAACAAACAAATTAGCAATACGTAATGCTCTTCTCTGGTTGGTTTATATTTCGGATTTTGTGCAAGAAACGGATTAGCAAATGATTAAAGAATATTAGGGACATGTGCAATGATTGATTAAAAGTTGCAAGATAACTTCAAAACGACAAAGATTTCTTGATAAAGAAAAGGGCTTAAGGCTCAAAGCCTAAAATCTACAAGGAAGATCAAAGATCTTGCAAATTTTAAACATTTTTTATAGGAATTAGTGGGTAAGCATTCGTCTAATGCGACAGAAAACTAGTCAATGACACTTTGGACTAAATGACCCAACTAATCCGAGCTAAGGAATAGCATGCTGACAATGGCTTACTAATACAGCTTCATCCTATGACTTAATGCAAGGAAATGAAGCCTAAAGAAAACTCTTAAGTAGTTAATTTTGAGTGCGACCCAATAAATTCTTACAATGTTGAACGAAAATCAAAATAAAATAATTTAAGTTGGAAGGATTAAATTCATCAAAAGGAACAATTTTGAATGCATAGGTACCAGAAAGAGAGCTTACTTATTGGCTTCTTCCATTCGCTAAACGAATCGTATCTGCATTTGTCTCAGAGTAGTCAATCAGCTAAGTCCATTGATTTTAATCAAAACCAATTCTGTTATATTTGTTTATTATAAAGGCATTCTTGTACCTAATGATTGATGGCCTTGAACAGTAGAACATCAATGTGGTATTCTTATATTAATCAAATGGCGTTTTTGTGGAAATGATGAGTGGTCAAATGTGCTGCCCACATGGTGATCAAATGAACCGTGTATTAAGTTTTTGGACGGAATCAAATGACCTGTTTTAAAGCATCCAATTTACTAAATCAAATAAGACTAAATCCAATTTACTAATCTTCTCTTTCTCTCTCTCTTTTTTTTTTTTAATACATAATGCGGAAGCCGAACCTCAGTGTGCAAAAGTAACTCATAGAAAATGCGGTATACTAGTTTAAGTATCTCTTAATTAATCCAGGTACCAATTAAAAAAAAAAGTAACTCATAGAAGGAGAGTTGTCTAGATAATCTTACTCTATTTTTGCTGGGGTTACAGCCAAGGGCATTGACAAAATTTGCAATCCGAGACATATATGTGACCTATTTTTGCTAACGAATCAACAGCTTCATTACCTGCGGGTTTTACTAATCTTCGTGCATGTCTAAAACCAAAAGTGGCTATTGAATTGGAATAGTATAGTGCTAAAACAATGATAATGAGCCGAAAGTGTCGTCCCAGCACTGTGGGTATACGGTGGATGTCAAACCAACAAAAATAAAATAATCTATTCCTACCAAGATTTGGTAGTATAGCAGTGAGTAGAGTTGTCTCTTTAGTGAATAAGTAAGTTACAATATTTCTAAATTAAAGTAAAGTAACGAGGATGGTTGTTTTCAGATTTGTAATTAGTGAATAATAAAAATAAATTGTAAGTAAAAAGATGATTTTCGAATAACATTAATGAGAGAAACTCTAACCAAAGAAATAACATCCACCTTGATGTGTACAATTGATCATCGATGCAAAAATTGACTCAACAAATTATGAGTATATTGGTTATCATTGTTGGAACTTCTTAATAATTCAATTTTTTTTAATTAAACACCAACGATTAAGAAACTTTCATTAACCATTCTATAGCCAAAAACACTATCTGGAACCTCCTAGAACTTAGTTTTCGACAATCAAAGACCCAATTAAACTTCTAAATAAATAAACCTTACTTACCTAAAAGTTGATTATTTATTCTCGCAATACAATGAAACTACTTACCAAGCAATTAATTGTATTGTTATTCTTAGGAACAGACAAATCTTGTTGTTCAATAAATTAGATTACCTAAGAAAAATTGAATACTACCAGCTATTCAACTAGTGCCAAATAATCAACAATACAAATCAAAGAGAATAAATAAATGCTCACAACTAGTAGAGATATAGGAACAATTAGATCTCACAATTGAAATAACATTAAGGCTTCAATAATTCTTTAAATAAAAAAGAGAATTTAGTTGCTACACATATTGAGAATAACAACCAAAGAGTTTAAGAATAACGTTACAGAACTAGAAGAGAAGAAAACTGAGAGAATTCTACCCGTCCGGAGCTTCAAATTTGCGCCGACTATTCTTCCTCTTCTTGGTCTTGTGCAGTGACGAATTCAAGGGGGGGTCAGGGTGGTCGATCGACCCCTCGGCTGGCGGATTTGGCCAAATTTTTTCTTAGTAAGGTGTCCGTTATTTAAAATTTTTTCAGTACGACCCTCCGGTGACAGTTGAATAATCCTATTTTTCGACCCCGTGATTTGAAAATTCTCGTTCTGCCACTGGTCTTGTATTGACGAATTTTTCCCTTTATTTATAGGGGAGGATGGCCGAAAACTTTCCTAATAAGTAGGAGAAGAAATAGGATATAATATATTTTTCCTATTTTTACAAGGTAATTTCCAAATTTGCCTCTTTTGACAACTCATATATTAACTAGCAAGAAAAAGGAACCTAGACCCTTTAAAAGACTCAATACATTAAGTCTATTTAAAGAATAGAAATAGCCTCCAATTACAAGATTACTCCTTTGGAAAAAATCGCCTTTTCGAGTGTGAACACAATTTCTTATGAGAAACCTTCATTACTTGAGTGTGAACAGGTTTGCTTGGCTCCTTCCTAAAGAATAGGAAGTTATAACTCCAAAAACTTAGGAAATAAGCAATTAATTCGTCCAAAACCGCAGCCGCCCTCCAAGTTCCCCGAAATTACAATTTAGTTCCTAAAGTTTGTAGAAATTATATTTTGACTCCAAAACTTTCTCATTTTTGTATTTTAGTCCCTAATCGAATTTTTCAACTTGTTCTTCAACATGATCACGTGCTAAATTAACTCTGCTTCTGTCTTTGAGCATAAATCTCTACCAAAAATCAACACTTATTCATTCTTTTCATCCAAATCATCTTCTATGATCAAATTAAGCACAAAATACTAATATTAGTATAGATACTACTCAAAATCACACATAAATTATCCAAAATATTACGCTAATATCGACCTTATCAGTCTAATGTTATATCCGACTCTTACCCTTCCAAATTTATACTATGACAGAAATGTTTAAACTTTAAACCATTTCGGAGTTGCAAGTAGATCCAAATTCGAGAAAGTACCATTTGCAATTATGTGGCTCCCCTCGAATTAAAAAAACGGTATAATAAGTCTAAACAATAACTTCAAACACTATGTGTATAAAAACCTGTAGAATTAATTAAAGTAACGACTTCAGACAATATATTCGAAATATTTTGAACAACAAATCAATATTA